ATTCTGTGGTTCTTGGGGGATCAGGTCTGGTCACCTGCTGCCTCTAGAGTTCAGATAAAGAGAAAAAAAGAAGGCAGTAGAGCAGGAAAGCCGCCTGGGAAGATCGCTGGTCCAGAAGTCTTCTCCCCACTCACAAAAGCTTTAGGCGTCTCTAGGAGAAGGTCGCAAGTGGAGCCAAGGGCTTAGATGCACAGTAAATCCCACTGGGCTGTGTCTAGTTGTGTCTGCTTTTGGGGGTCCTGTGGGAGTCCCGCTGCCATCTTCCAGATGTTGCTTAGGGAGCAGTTTCCGTTCTTAGCATAGAACTGCCGCAGGAAACTGGGACAGAGAAACGACTTCAAGACAACAGGTTAGAGGGACAAAATGAAGGCAGTCAGGGTAATGCCTGGGTCTTCCTTCAAATCTCCCAACTTTAAAGGAAGCCCTGTTGGAGTTACAGGTCATCTTTTCACTGGTGTGTAATGTTCCATGTTGCCTTTAGTTTCTTGTTATTATAAACATTGCCAACATGAACCTTCTTGACAACTCCTCATGGCCATCCGCAGGAATTTTTCCAGGGTACATTCCTAGGACGGGGTTCCCGAACATTCTCTCTCCCTGGGGCACATGGCTTTTGTCCTCAGATCAACTCCATCACTGTCAGGAGATGTCAGCCACAGGCACAGGCTCCTTATCCACACACAAAATAGTGGCCAGCCAGAGAAGAGGAACACTTTTCCAAGGGCCTCTGAGAGAAGTCCTTCAAGTGTCACTGCCTGGGGTGCTTAATTCTATTCTAAACATACCATTGGCAAAGGGACTGGGATGTCACATGACTCAGCTGCATTGGGATCCTCCCCTGAAGATGGGGTAGTTACAGCCCAGGGACCAGAATGAGACCAGAGCTGGGGGCGGGGAGTCGGGGGGAGGTCAAGGTTTGTGGTCAACTGCAATGCCATGTCAGCTCCACTCTGAGCCCCTGCCATCTACCTCTAACTACTAAGGCTTTTATCCCCCAAACACCTGCACCTCTACCCGAGGCTTTCTCTGGCTATAGCAGGAGCGTATGGGTTCTGTGTAGAGCAAGTCAAAAGTACTAGAAATTCTCCATGCCTCCAGAAGCCAGCTTGCTCTTCTGGGATCTATGACCTCTTAGCTGGGGTCCTTCTGAGCATGCAGCACCACTCTCAGCAATCTGGGAGGACTGTGCGTGGGGTCTGTCTCACACGTCCACTCCTCTACCAGTGTTTCCTGGGATTATCTCCCATATAAACTCTTTGCACTCAGTTTTGTGTCTGAGAGTTTGCTTTTGGGGGAGCCCAAACCAACAAAGGACCGATACAGCAACTAATGGTGTCTGGCCCAAGTATGCCTGGGCAAGATGGAGGGTAGGCTGGACGTTGGATGTTGGAATTTGAGCTCCAGGCTCAAGACAGAAAATTGAAAGTTATCAGAGGACAGGAAATGGTTGCAGCTGTGAGTGTAGACGAGAAAGCCTTAAGAAAATGTACAGGCAGAGCTTCAGGAACTGAGCCCTGAGGCCGAGCTCTGAAGACGGCCGATGTTCCAGTGGCTGAGAAAGGACACTAACCCGCAAAGAGACCAAGTGGTCAGAGTGTGGCCCTACAGTTGGGTCTTTTCTTCTTTTGTTTTATTTTGGTTGTACTGGGGTTTGAACTCAGGGCTTCACATTGCTAAGCAGCTGTTCTGCCACTCGAGCCATTCTGCCAGCCCAGTTAGGGTCTTAAGAGTCTCTCAGAGCTCCATATGGTAAGACTTGCTCCCAGAGTGGTGCCATGGGGAGGTGGTAAAAACTTTAAAAAGTGTGGCCAAGAAGGATGTCTTAGGCCATTGGGGGTGTGCCCTCAGAAAGGATTGTGGATTTCTTCCTCTCTCTCTTCCTAGCCAGGAGGTGAGTGGTTTTGTTCCACCTCAGGCTTCTATGTGTTGCTATAGTCCAAGGTGACAAGAATCATCAATTATGGGTGTACCAAAATAACCTTTTTTTTTTTTTTTGATGGAATTGGGGGGTTGAACTCAGGACCATGCACTTGCTAGGCAGGCGCGCTACCACTTGAGCCACACCCCCACCCCTTCTTGTTTTGGCTGTTTTGGGGATAGGGTCTAGCATTTCTGCCTAGGCTGCCTATATCATGATCCTCCTATTTATGCTTCCCAAATAGTTGAGATTATAGTATTGCACTATCATGCCCAGGTATTAATTGGCATGGGGGTCTCACTAACTTTTTGCCTGAACTGGCTTCAAACTGAGATCCTTCTGATCTCTGCCTACCAAGCAATTAGGATTGCAGGCGTGAAACGCCATACTTGGCCTTTTCTTTCTTTCTTTCTTTCTTTCTTTATTTTTTGAGTCAGTGCTTCACTGGATGGCCCTGATGGGCCTGGAACTTGTGCTCCTTCTGCCTCAGCCTCCCAAGTGGCAGGATTAGTCATGGACCACCAATCCTGGCTCCCTTTTCTGTTTATGAGTTGATTTATCTTTGTTATTTGTTATAGTAGGGGAAAGCCGATGAACACATGGGGGTGTCCCAAAAGTAGCAAACAGAATATTTCAAGAAAGAGGAGCTGGGCATAAAGAAGATTGAAGTGATGTCATTTGCAGGAAAAAGGATGAAACTTGAGATCGTCATATTAAATGAAATAAGCCAGGTTCAGAAAGATAAATACTACAAGTTTTCTCTCGTGCATGGACCAGAGACCTAAAAACACACACATGTATATATCTCACGAATGTAAATGTGAGATTGTTGGTGGGATAAGCAAGAGTGGGGGAGAACGATGGGAAATGAATATTACCAAAGCACATTCTATGGATGAAGACAGAATAATGAAACCCACTAAAAACTGTTGAAAATGAGGGGAAGGGGAACAGGGAAAAGAAAGAGCAAGGGGGAGTTTTAATCTGACCAAAGCACATTATATGTGAATGGAAATACCACATTTGTATTACTAATGCACACTAACAAAAATATTTAAAATGAAATAGTAAAAGAAAAATTTCAAAATAAAATATAAAAAAGGAAAGAAAGAAAGAAAGAAAGAAAGGAGCAGGGTGTGGTCGTGGAAAACCTATAATTCCAGCCCTTAGGAAGCTGAGGCAAGTGGATCATAAGTTCAAGGCTAGCCTGGGCTCCAGAGGGAGACCCTGTCTCAAAAAAACAAAAAAGGGAAAGGAAAAAAGAAAAGAGAAGTGGTTAGCAGCGTCAAATGTTCCTAAGTGGTGCAGCACCAGGACAGAGGTTGTCCAGTGCACTCTGACATGGAGAGACACTGGTGGCCCGTGGAGCTGTTTTGACGGCGTGATGAGGCTGGAACTGCCATTGTAGTGGATTGAAGACTTCTGGCTAGGACAGGAGACAGAGATGGCAACTGGCGATCAAAGGAAGACGAACGTACAATTAAAATACCCATAAACACTTAAAATAGCCCTCCCTACATCAGGTTTTGTGATTCTTCATAAAATGCACCCCTCTGCCAGAGGTGACTTTTCTCTTTTATGGCCTACTGGCTGGCTCCACACAACCTCCATGCAACCTTCAATAAAAGTGGGAGGGAAATGGCCAAGCTAGCTCCAGCCAGTTAAGCATTCAGGCAAGGAGGATCAGCCAGTAGGGAAGACAGGCAGCGGGCAGCCAGCCCTTCCAAGGACCTGTCTGTGAGCACCAGGGTGAGGACAGAAGGGCTTCTGCAAAGCACACTGGGCTAGTCTGAACTAGCAGCTAGTCAGTTGCACAGAGGACTTCTGTCATTTACATTTCACTTAGTTCCTAAGCACAGAAGCAGGCAAGAGGCAGACACTGAACCTTCCCTGTGTGCAGAACTGTGCTGGACACACTAGGGAATTCACCAGTGGGTGGAGGGACAGAAGACACCTAAGATTCACAAACCAACTGAAGGGCCCATTACCGAGCAATGTGTCCACACACAGTGCGTGCATCAATACCAATGACTGTTATTCACTAAGTAAGTTTATAGATTACGTGCGACCCTCATCAAAATCTCAAAAACAATTAAAACAAGATTTGAAAGTGCACGTAGAAGAACTGTGGAACAGTTAAAATAATATTCAAAAGAACCCAGTTGAAAGACTTCGACGATGTGAGAGCTCCCTAAAGCCAAATAACCCAAACAGTGTGGAATTGGGTAAGGACAGACAAACCACAATGGAGCAAAAAGAGCCCAGAAACAAATGAACACATGCACAGTTAACATTTTCTACAAAAGTGTAGATCTCTACCTTTATTCACAAAAGTAATTTGAGATGGATCACAGACCTAACCTTAAACTCGGGACCATATAGCTCCTAGAAGAAAACATAGCATTAAAAAAAAAAAAAAAAAAAGCTTGAGCCCATAGCTGTGCCATCATTCCTAGCTCCAATTGTCTTTAAAAGCCGCTAGAGCGGCGGCTGTGTAGACAAAGAATGTGTGGGGAGGATTAGAAAGCAGAGAGACCACTTAAGAGGGAGGATCCATGCCGGCTGGAACTTGGGTGATAAAATTTTACTTAAGAATAAATAATCTTTTTTTTTTTTTTTGGCCGTACGGGAGTTTGAACTCAGGACCTTACGCTTGCTAGGCAGGCTCTCTACCACCTGAATCCCTCCGTCAGCCCTGTTTTATATTGGGTATTTTCAGATAGTGTCTGGAGGACTATTTGCCCGAACTGGCCTCCAACCGTGTTCCTCCTAATTTCTGCCTCCTGAGTAGGTAGGATTACAGACGTGAGCCACCGGTGCCCGGAAATAAATAGAACTTTAGAAGGCACAAGAGTGGAGGAGAGGTGCCTGCCCAAGCAAGGATTTTGGATCTCTCTGCCGGCGCTGGCCCTCCGTGCTGCCCCCAGTACGAAAGGCGCGGATTGAAACACGCATGCTCACAGCCGAGTCCGCGGGCGGCCGCTGTTTGAGTGCGCACGCGCGGCGTGAGTGGTTGCTATGGAGACAGGAGGTCCCGGGCGGGTTCTGGGCTGCCCCGGCATAAGTCGCGGTCCAGGGGTCGATGGCCGGCCGCAGTGGGGCCGGGGCAGCCGGGTACGGAGAAGAGGGCGAGGACGACGACGAGGAAGAAGAGACGCAGAAGGGCGGCGCTGCGGGTTCGCCGGGGTCCAGGTTGCCCCCCATTGTGGGCACCGCCTCCGAGCTGGCCAAACGGAAAGTGAAGAAGAAAAAGAAGAAGAAAAAGACCAAGGGGCCTGGTAAAGGGAATGGTAAGATGAGCGGCTAGCGCGGCTGCTCCAGCTCCCGTAACCTAGATCCCCTCCGTGGACCCCCGCCCCGTCCCTCCCAGAGGCGCCCCTCTTCCTGGAAACCACGTCGGACCAGAAACAGAATCTTATCAAGATCAGATGCCTCCCCTCCATCCCGCTTTGCCCTACAAGGGATGGTGATGCCCAGCTCTGCCCATAAAGTCCATGTGCCCACAGAGATCCTCAACCCAGAAGTACAGAGACCCATTTATAAATTCCATTAACTTAGCAGCCTCCCAATACTATAGAGACCTCACATCCTGCACTGAGACCCTCAACAACACACAGAGACAGTCACCAGGTCCACACAGAGACTTAGCTTTACACCGACACTTTCGCAGTTCCTAGTTTCTGAGCCCAGACTCACAGTCCTAAACACCCTCCCCACAGAAACTACGCCTTCCTACAGAGACCCCCTTACTTTCCTTCGCCCACCTGAAGACACTCCCTGACACACTCACTCCTCTTCAGAAACACAGGCTCCTGCCTTTCCCACAGGTCCTCCCCACTCCCTTATACACTGGGGGCACCTGCCTTTGGCTGCTGTGTAGATACCACACCCAAGTAAAGGCACACAAAGAATCCTCCCTGCGTGGACTCCACTCACCATGCATCAGTGGACAGCATAGACAGCATCACAGCAGTCACTGCTACATCCTCTCATAATCCCTGACCCCCTTCACCATATAACACCATCAAATGCACCTAAAACACAGGTACCAGGGGTTGGTAGAGTGGCTCAAGTGGTAAGAGCAACTGCTTAGCAAGCGTGAGGCCCTGAGTTCAAACCCCAGTGCTGGAAAAAAAGAAAAAAAAATGCAGGTGCCCGCCATATGCACACATTCACAGTCTACACACACATAGGTATCATTAGACACTTACATGCATAGACTCCCCCCACCCCGCCAAGAAAAAACCCCAGCTCCTATGTACACATACAGTCATACTCAAGCAGGAACTCCTCCCTCTCACCGACACTTTCACGTGTGTGCACATGCCACAGGCCTGGAGTCCCTACACCAGTCCACCAAGCTCTTCTCATAGAGCCCAGGGCACTGAGTGTCCCATCCTAAGGAGAGACTACAGCAGTGACACAGAATGCACCTGCCTGGGAGTGCTGTGAGTCCCTTGTCACCTGTGTGGTCTACTTCAGTGTCTTTGGCCACCAGGGGTGTGGCCCTGACCTCCAGTATGGCTAGTCCTGGGCTTAAGCTTCTGGGCCTCAGGTCTCGTGTGCAGAGCTGGAGCAGAAGGAGCAACCGTCTTCTCCATGTCAGCCTCATAGTTTGGAGAAGGAGAGACTAGGAAGGTTATAATTGCTTTTTCAGGTGGAATTGTAGTAAGAAAAAAAATCTGTATTATAGGACAGAAAAAAAGCCCTCTGTGTATCTTACAAAGCAAAACCAGGAAGTTTATTGACTTTTTTTGGTGTAGCTTTTGACTGTAGAAGTTACAGGGGCATGTACCTCAGACTGTCAGCAGGGGACACCAAATAGTTTTCAGGAATTAGGAAGGTAAGGAAATGTCAAGTTAGAATTTTCCCTTCTTTTCTCCCACTCCCTTTGTTCCCTGGAGGGAGGAATCTCTTTCTCCTAAAAAATAGAAAGATGATGCTAGATTGCAGGTGGCTCACGCCTGTAATCCTAGCTACACGGGAGGCAGAGATCAGGAGGATCACAGTTTGAAGCCGGCCCCAGGCAATTACTTCAAAAGACCCTATCTCAAAAATAACCCAATACAAAAAAGGACTGGAGGAGTGGCCCAAGCAGTAGAGTACCTGCCTAGCAAGTGTAAGGACTTGAGTTTAAACCCCAGTACACACACACACACACACACACACACACACACACAAATAGAGAAAGATGAAAGAACCACAACTTGTAGTATTTTTTGTGCATGTCATACATTCTGAAATGTTGAGAGAGAGAGGAAGAGAGAAGGGAAGAGCACAAGCCACACAGCAGAAGCGTTTCTGACTTAGCCTGATGTTGATTTCATCCGTCAGATTTGGAAAGTTTTTCTGTCATTCTCCATTTCTGCCATGATAAAGAGTCTAGACTGGTGTAGCATCATAGCCTCCTAGGGGGGTGGGGGCAGGAGGGAGAAATGACCCAAGCCTTGTATGCACATATGAATAATAATATTAATTAATAATATTAATAATAATAAAAAATAGCCTCCTAGGCCTGGAAATTCCTTGGGGAGCAAGTGGTGAGGCGAAGTGGGGGACATCAGGGTATAGTGAAAGAAAGGACAGTAAGCCAGGCCAGCTTCTGATCTGACTCTGCCACTCTCTGTGTGACACTGGCAAGTTAGTGAAGTTCTTGGGTTCCCAGCTGGGTGTAGCTCAGTGGCAGAGCACATGCTCACCATGCATGAGGCCTGGGTTTAATTCCAGCACCCCCAAAAGGAAAAAAGATTCCTCCTGCCCCCAAATGGCCAAACTCTACAGGTAGGCTGGTGGACATGACCTCTGAGCTCTGGGTAGAGAAGACCCGGCCCCCTGTCATCTTTGGGAACCTGGCCTCCTCCCAGGCAGGCTGAGGGCAGCGATGGCCACAGACACTAACCTCCTCCTCTGCTCAATAGATAAGCACCAGAGTCGGGGCCTGAAGAGTCAGCCACTTTCCTCATCCTTCCACGACATCCTAAATCCCAACAAAGACCACAGTCTGAGGGCAGAACCCAGACAGGACAGAGAAGAAAACCAACACACGCCTGCCTACTCCTACACCAGGAGTCTCCCCCACTTCGCAGAAATAGAAAAGAGCCTTTCGAACCAGATCAATGAAAGTCTGCGTTGGGATGGAATTCTCACCGATCCAGAAGCAGAAAAAGAAAGAATTCGCATATATAAACTGAACCGGAGGAAGCGGTACAGGATTTCGGCCCTCAAGGGCCTCCACTCCGATCTCTGCCCCGAGGACACCCCCGAGAACTTACCTTACCTGTCGGACAAAGACTGCAGCTCCAGCAGCAGGCAGTCTACCTCCAAAGCCGAGCCCCCCGCATCACTACTTTGAAGGAAACCTCGGCACACCACTCCTGTGCACAGATTTGTTGTCCCCTGTTCTGCCAGAGTAAAACCTATCAGTGAGGCTGGGAAAGCTGGCGAGGCTGGCAAGCCTCTCCATCCTCTTTTGCACACGCTTCTGTGTTAGAGAAGGAGAGGAGGGGAATCAGAGCAGACCTGAAGGACCTGTGTGTGTTCAGCGTGCAGCGGAGGCCAGCCTCTCCTTCGCCAAGGTGCCCTTATATGTCCACAGCCATAGGCGAACACGGTGCTTTTCAAAATCGCCTTATCTTAAATAAACTAGATCTCTCTTTGCTAAGTAATACCTCATTGCAGCTAGATATCTTGATCTGCTGCTGAAAAGAAAAGAATGTGTGGAGATCATGTAAGTTCGGTTTTTTGGTTTTTTTTTTTTTTTTGATGGTGATACAACCATCAAACCCCAGACTTTTTCCTTTTAGTTTATTTTCGATAGGGCTTCAAGATTTTCCCAGGCCAATCTTGGACCCACGATTCTCCTGACTCCACCTCCCTAGTAGCTGGGATTACAGATGTGCACCACTGTGGCCAGCCCTAGTTACACAGTCTACATCTCAAATTAATTTTCTGGATAAAATTCACATGGTACATGCATCTGTATGCCCAAGGAAAAATGCTTTGATTATCCTAGAGACTTTGTTTTAATTACATACACTCCCTTACGTGGCCTTCGGAATCAGTGAGTTCTGGAGCTTCATTCCTGGGAGGTCCCAAAAGGAGTATCGATTCTTTTATAAGTACAGTCCTCTCCGAATATCCCCAACCTGGCATTTTAAGCAAAATTCTGGAGCATTAAAAAAAAATGCCTTACTAAAACTGCTTATCCTAAATTTATATTCCTCCCTTCCACAAATATTTCTTTCTTTTTTTTGGTGGCACTGGGGTTTGAACTCAGGACCTTATACTTGCTAGGCAGTTGTTCTTACCACTTAAACCATTCCACCAGCCCCACAAGCATGTCTTGAGGAAGAACTGTGTGCTGTCTTGGTTTGCACTCTCCCATCAGCAAGCCCTGCATTTGGATAATGATCCAAATGCAAGGAGACTTTGTGAGGTGAAGACAATGGAGAGGTGGGAGACCAGCCAGGCAACAGGAGTAAGCCACTTTCATACGGGTATCTTGATCCCATGGAGGAGTATGGGAAACAACTCAAGACCAGCTCTCAGACCTATGGCAAGTGAGGCGGAGAGAGCGGGACATTTATAGTCCCCACAGCATTGATTGAGGGCCAGTGTTAATTTCCCGGCATTTCTAGCCTGCCACACCACATGGGGCTGGAAACCTCCTTCAGTTCTGGGGACATGGCCCTCAGACACAAAGATGCAGACAGACTGGTTAGTATCAGCTTCCTGCGGGGGACAGAAGACCACCACAGGAAGTGGAGGTCTGCGTTGAAGGGGTTAACATGTTTAGGGGAAGACTACAGCCAATGCAAAACCTCGCAGAACGCTTACGCCAGCCCTCGGCTGCCAGAGCAGCTGTCTTCTCACCCTTGGGAACCACTTACAAACTCTCCCATCTTTGCCATTGTGCGCTAGCAAAATATACTGAAAGCACTTTTCTTTTCTTTTATTTCTTGAGACAGGATTTTGCTATGTTGCCCAGGTTGCTCTCCAGCATTCTCAATCTTACTGCTCACCTTCCCGAGTGCTGGGATTACAGACAACACCACTAGGCCTGTTCTAAAGAGACTTTTGGAAGAGTCCTACCCTGAAAAATGGTTGGCAGCCAGGCCTGCCAAGGACACTGTACTGAGACCAAGCCTGGCCACACTGCTGTCCACAGAGAAGGGGACAGGAAGTGTGCTCATGTCCAGCACCTACAGGACCTATAGATGCCCCAGAGTATCAAGGTAAAGACAGAGGGAGTGGGGGCTGACTGAGCTGGTGTCTCATGTGCCCTCCAGTGGTTCATGCCTTTAATCCTAGCTACTTGGGAGGCTGAGATAAGGAGGATTGTAGTTTGAGGCCTGCCCAGGCAATTAGTTCCCAAGACCCCATTTCCAAAATAACAAGAGCAAAATAGACTAGAGTTGTGGCTCCACAAGTAGAGTCCTGTTTTGCAAGCATGAAGCCCTGAGTTCAAACCCCAGTCCCAGCAAAAAAAATTTGTTTGAGCTTTTACATCAGAACTGATTTTATCTGCTTTCTACCACATACTAGCTGTGTGACCTCAGGCAAATCATTTAACCTCTCTGAACCTTATTTTACTGATCTGAAAATAGGGAAGGAAACAGTTACTCTAGTGTTAGGAGAACCAAATGCAGTGATTACATGAAGCAGCTATTACAGGACTCAATCTAGTTTAAATATTTTGACCAACGATTTTTTTTTTTCAGTGCTGGGGTTTGAACTCAGGGCTTCACGCTTGCTAGGCAGGCACTCCACCACTTGAGCCACTCCACCAGCCCTGTGTGGAGTTTTTTCTAGATAGGGTCTCTTGAACTATTTGCCTGGGCTGGCTTCGAACCTCGATCCTCCTGATCTGTGCCTCCCAAGTAGCTAGGATTATAGGTGTGAGCCACCAGCGCCCGGCCAATGATGTTTTGTGTTGACATAGCCACACAGCCCCTGGAGAAACTGTCCTGATTGCTGGTGTGGACCTCACTTCATGGAAGGGTGACCTTTACAAAAGAAACATGGCTGAAATCTATGCATAGTTACCCATCAGCTGATGAATGCAGAAAGAAAATGTGGTGTACACACACACAATGGAGTTATTAGTTCATTCTTCTTTATGAAGAATGAAAGATGCAGGACCCTTTCTCAAAAAAAAAGATCCCCCCCAAAAAAAGTGCTGGTGGAGTGGCTCAAGTGGTAGAGTGCCTGCCTAGCAAGTGTGAGGCCCTGAGTTCAAAACCCAGTACCACCAAAAAAAAAAAAAAAGAATGAAATTATGTTATTTTCAAGAAAATAAATGGAACTGGAGATCATCATGTTAAATAAAATAAGCCAGATGGAGGAAGACAAATATTGCATGTTCTCTCATATGTAGAATCTAGGTGTTAAAAAATAACATGAGTATAAAACAGGGACGGGGGATACAGTGGGAGGGGGAGAGGAAAAAGAGAGTGAATGTGACCAAAGTTTTTCACACACAGGTGTGAAAATAAATAATTAAATAGCTAAAATTGTTTCAAAAGGGAGCTAAGAAAGAGTAAATCACATGCATGTATAGAAATATCACAATGAGACCTCTTGGTCTACGAGAGAGACAGACAGATAGATAGACAGACTGCAGTGCGTGTAACCAGCAGATATCATTCAAACAAACCCACAATTACAGAGGTCTGGAATGAGAGAGAGAGTAGGAGGGATGAAGCTAGGGTCTGAAAGCCCGGGGTTCTGGGGAGGGGTCTGTGGACCCGGGAGGATGGCACAGTGAGAGCCTGGCACCAAAGAAGAATCTGTGCTTAAGACATCAAAAGAGGGGAGGGGGTGGAGGCAGGGGGGAGAAATTACCCAAGCCTTGTATGCACATATGAATAATAATAAAAAAAAGACATCAAAAGAAGAACGAGGTGGGGCACAGAAGTGCCTCCAACCCAAATGCCTCATACCTAGGCTGTACCCTTCCAGTGGCAATGACCAGAAAACGCAATGAGAACTGACATATGGACAAAGGAGAGTGATTGACTTATAAAGCCACCAATCCAGGGTTAGCTTTGGTTTCAGGCATGGCTAGATCCAGGAGGTCACACTGAATGATCAAAATTTCTCTCTGTCTATCTCACCTCATCACCTTTGCATTTGCTCTATGCTCAGGCAGGGCCTCATCACAGGATGGTAAAGGTGGTCACTGGCATTCTTGCAGTTCTGGGAAGAAAAAAAGGGTGACTTCAATGTCCCTAACCCAGTGTCCACATCATTCCCAGACGTCTCTGGCCTGGTGAGAGTCAGAGGCCCAGCAGTGCACTAATCACAGTGGATACGGAAATGGAGATTTGACGGATGCACAGTCCTAGGGAACCATGAGGAAGAGGGGGGGTGGGGAACGGGCAGCCCCCCTGACATCGGACCTAAACAGATTGTTACAGAATCTATAGACTCAGAGTGACTCCCCAGAGAGATGCCAAGTAGACAGACTCGTCCATTGACCCCCAAATGAAGAATGAGACAAAGTCTAACTATGGAGCCCAAACTGGGCTCAAACTCAAGACCCTCCTGCCTTGGTGTCCCAAATGCCAGGATTACAGGCGTGCACTATCACACTGTGCTCACAATGATTCATTTTAAAAAGCTTGATCAAGGGTCATGGGAGTGGCTTGCACGGCATGATTTAATCTCACTGATCTGGATAGACTGCATGTTTATCTCCAGAGCTACTGATGGTTGCCCATTGCCACTGAATCCATTAACCAAAGATAAACAATGCTTGGCAACCTCGGGTCCCGTGAGTGGTTAGGAGCAGAGGTTTTGGGCCCCCAGCTCTGTTTAGTAATAATAGGACTGATGGCTTTCACTTGCTCTGGTGAAGCCTTGCTGGTAGGGGGTGAGGGGTAGATGTCAATCTTTAAGGCTGGTCCCAGCCTGCAGTGGTAAAACACCTGCAAGCGAGCATTAGGCCCTGAGTTCAAACCCCAGTGCCACCAAGAAAGAGAATCTGGCAACAGTGATAGGATATGCCACTTCCAGGTTACAAAATGAGACTGTGTTTAGGAGGAAGAGGAAGGAAGGAATAGGTGGCACACAAGGACTTTTTAACATTGGGAAACTATTCTCTGTGATGCAACAATGGCGGAGATATGCCATTATACATTTGTTCAAACTCAAAATTCACACCAACAGTAATCCAATGTGAGATGTAGACTTCAACTGAAATAATGGATCAGTATTGAGTCACCAGTTACAGCAAATGTACCATGATAATGTGGGCTGGTCATCACCGAGAGACCTGGAGATGTTTAGGGAGTGTGTTGGCAGTTTTCCATTGCTGTGACAAAATACCTGAGATAGATCACCTTCAAGGAG